CAGTAGGCTAGTGGCCTTATGTCAACTTGTCAAACTTTAGATAAACTTTTTCTCTGCATCCTCCTCATCTTTACAGTCATTTTTGGTTGGGCCGTTCCATTCTATGAAACATTTCCCCCGAGGAGAGTAAGTGCTGGCTTTGACTCATCAAAGATTAAAGGCAATACACAAGCTCGATGTGTGTATATGTGTGAGTGTTCTTGTACTTGCTGCATAGTAAGGACTGAAACAGTCAAAATGTCCTCACTTTCCAAAAATGTCCTCACTCTGTAAGAAAAAAATACTGGTCCTCACTTTCTGAAAGAGCTTTTTGAGGACTTGGTTTTAGGGTTTAGGTTAGAATTAGGTTTAGGTTAGGTGTTAGGGTAAGGTTTAGAGTTCTGATGGTTAACGTTAGGGTAAGGAACTAGGCAATGCATTACGTCAATGAGTGTGCTCACAGCGACAGAAGTATGTGTGTGTTCTGCGGTGGTACAGTCAGCAAAGAGTGCCACCATGAGGATTAAAAGGATAATGCATGTAGAATGTTAAAAAAATGATATAGGAGGAATAATAAAGGGCCCTTCTAAAAATATTCCCACAAACATGCAGATTTTCTTGCTCTTCAGACACAATAGAAGCTGATTCTTTTAATTTGTACTCTTAGCAGAATTAATGAGTAGTCAGACAAGTGGAAACATATAGTAAATTCAGAAAGCTGTGCAGATGGATGTGGGTGTTCTTCATAATTGATTGAATTTTATTATTCATTTGTATAATTTCCTTTCATTTGCTTTATATGGCCTTTTTGATTTGATTGTTCTTGATTTCATTGTGTAAACAGTTTGCACTAGCAAATATTCAGTGCTGCAGTGCAGTGACTGCTAACTAGGAAAATAAAAAACAGCATAGCAACTAATGCAGCTAGGCTTATCTTTGACCAATCAGAGCTTGGTGAGAGTTACTTCTGGTATAACATAATTTTAGACAGATGGTCTGCACCATTGTTTGGTGTGAGTATCCAGATGTGTGTGTGAGACTCACTGGTGACAGCACACAGAGGTTATGAGGACCCACCTGTGTTGCCATGCCATCTCTGTGTCATGAAGTTGATAACACAGGACTCATCTCTCCCAGGACTCCCACTGTCCTGGGAGAGATGGAGCAGGGTCTGTCACAAACTAGGGTCAGGAGTTCAGCATATGCTGGGAAAACAGACTGGAGGCACAAAAAAGAGGATCAATCAGTGTGAAGCAAAGTTCAAGTGGTTCCAATTAAAGCAGTAACATTTTGGTAACACAAATATCATACAAAAAGGAAAAGATATGCTTGTTGTGGCACGTTAGTGTTAGGAAGCAAACTAAATGAAGGGTTTGCAACACACCATAATGCTCATCTCTGGACCATCTTAAAGCCAGACTAATTTAATTAAACATTTTAAGTGCAAGGAAGAATGAGCGTGGTGGAAAAGGTTTTGCAATATGATATACAGTATATAGTGTAATGTATGTATGATGTCAAGACCAAAAATACTTTTTAAAGTTACACTTGTAAGAATATTTTGCATTCTTATTAAGCTGCTGTTACACAGATTGCATAAAATTCAAAAGCATGGCACTGACTTTTTATAACACACCCTCTTTGTTGGTTACTGTTTTTTTTGATATGCACAGATTATAAATATTTCTGCTTTAGAAAATGGTCTCAAATCAATTACATAAAGTCACAACCCTTGTTTTCTCTACTTTTACAATGGTCACTTCGTGCCGTGCCTTTCTAAAAGCTCAGTCTGCATCATGTTTATCAGTATGGTAGTCTCATTTTCAGTTCATCTGAGCCAGGGGGCAAGGTGGGCAGTGGCCAGTTGGCAGTGTCAGCCATGCTGGCACAGTTAAAGGGCACTGGGTGTGCGCCTGCTGCTACTCAACAAATCTGTCTGTCAAAGAATTCTTTGGAAGGCAAGCTGGCTAACAGAGAAGCCATTAAATAGAAAGAATTAGAGAGGGAGAACAGAGAAAACATCTAAAGCTCTTCACAGGCAACATAGATGAAAAACCAGGGAAATAAAACCATGAAAGAAGAGATGGGCAGACACAAACTAATAAATGGGGGGACATGAGAGGGAAGAAGCTGTTGCCTCACTTAACAGTTCTCCCATGTCCACAAGAAAAAAAAATGCTCAGCTTCCTCTACTTCCTGGGTTAAAGCAACAATCAATAAGTCTTTGCTGCACTCTTATACATGACATAAATTCATCTAATAGGAAGAATGTGGTAGAAAGCCTGTCAATTAGAAAGCATATGGAGCCACTGAGGAACGTGAAATGTTTCAGCCATGCTGTTGGATACACTACAGGGAGCCACCTTAGTAACTTAGCAGACCTATTCCAGACTTGTAGCGGGCCTGTCTGCTGAAGCCACAGCTCTCTGCAATGCAGTATCTGTGTTTATTTCAACAGGGAATCAGTCACTGAAAGTTTATAGCTCACTGTATTGTTTTAGCTGAATGGGACTGTTATGGAATATCAAAAATTTCTCGTTTCTATTCTTAGATTTTTCTATCCTCTGCTGGACGTGTTTGTGTGAAGGGTGTTTGGAAATTATCATATTACTCACAAAGTCACATGGTCTTTCAAGTCTTTCCCAAGAACATTGGGACATATGAGAATTTGAAAACATCTTTATAAAACTCTAGACCCCAAAGGGTGTTTAACTGTTTAACTGACCATAATATCTCAGTATAACAGTGGTACAGACAGGTGACAGGAAGGATAGGTGAGGTGCATCCTGAAAACTGCTAGTATCATAAAACATGTAACAAAAATTAAAAATCTGTCAAATCTAATGTTAGCTATTTTCAACCCCAAACAAAACAGAAATGACCCCTAAAATAGTTTAATTATTGAGGAATAAAAGGGAACAGATCCAGCAAGCCAACAGCTACCCTACCTTTAACCACTAGGTGGGGTGGTTGGCACAACTGCTCTACGGCTGTTTTTGTTCCAATAGCTGTCTAATACTTCACTTTCCTCATGTAAATAAAGATTTGATATAAACTGAATAAAATGTATCTGTGAGAATAAACACTTGGTTTAACTGAGGTGTTCTGTTAGATCTGATAACATCTCCAGGAAGAACGAGTCGCATTATATATGATTGCCTGACCCAGGACCGATCTTAGTTACTATGCTGAGGTCTGGAGACAGCTGCAGAGCAAGCCTGCCAAAGGGAACAGCTATCATTGGTAACCTCCTGCGGCATTGATAATAGCGGTGTTACTTTTCTGGCAGGAGGATCATACAGTCTGTACCCACAGGTTTAAAGGCCTGTCAGTGCCAAAGGAAAATACAACATTGTTCATGCAAGTCTATCTCCACCAACACTGTGTTTGTTTGTGCTTGTCAGATAGCTTTAGATCTATTTTTTCAGTGCTTGACTTGGATTAAAAAGATGTTTTATGACTTATGTTTAAGTTAAGACATGCGGATAAACCAGAAACAAGACAAGAGAAAGATAGAAACAATGTGAACAACAGAACAAAGGTCACATTGGATCACAGGATTCATAAATCAAATGTTTCAAAATGATAAGACTTTTAAGTTCAGACTGTCACTGCCTTCCATGAGCATGAATCTCATTTGATTTAGTTTTAACTGACAAACTCAGGATTTCCTCTGACATAAGAACTGTATCTAACACACTGTGTCTTATGTGATTATACACATTCAGAATGTACTGCAGTCCTATCTTTTAGCACTGATGTTTTAATTAGATGAATTTTTTTGTGAAAATCTCAAGAACACATCCTTCAGTTCAGCAGAATGAGACAAAAAAAGTGCAACCAGAATGACCTACACTATCAAAATTGATTTAAGGAAGATTAATGCACAAAAAAGTAATGTATGCTTATGTCTATAAAATGTGTTTTGTAATTTTTTAAAAATCAAAATCCAAGACATCCATCTATCAGAGGATGAGTCTTAAAAACTTTGGTGATCCCTTAACTTTTCATCAAATGCATGCCGACATCCTAAAGTAAGATGGTAAACATGGTAGGTAATGTACCTCCCCAGCATCAGCACATTAGCATCGTCACTGACAGCATCTTAGCATTAGCATTTAGTCCAAAGCATTGATGTGCATAACCCCCAGAGAGCTGCTAGCATAGCTGTATACTGTTTGTTTGGTTTGAGTATCAAATGTCTTTGTTGATACTCTCCACAGATACCTGCCTACAAAAATAAATATCATGTCTCTGTTATTTCTTTTTATCAAAAATGTCTACACCACAAGAAAAGGACTTTTTGTGTTGTTTTTCTGTTTCATATCTGTCTAGACTCTGAATCAGTTTTGTATAAGAATTCACTAGTCCTATGAAAGTATTTATCATTCTAACTTGTGTAGCTATACAGGCTGTTCATCCACTAAATATTTTCTAGAGGCTCTATCATTTGGAAGTGTGGCAGTTACCCTATTAAAGGTTATTAATGATCTCAGTGCTGTAAAACAACTTATGAAATAGTGCCAAATGATCTGAATGTTAACTTTCCCTTGGTCCACAGAGGAGCAGGCAAAATAGTGGTGTGCTATTTTTGGAGGAGCTATCAGCAACCTAGTGGCATAGGGCTGAGTGACAGGACAAGTGCTGTGTTGGACCCTCCCCTCGTTCGTTTGGAGCAGGCATTCCTCAGTGTAAGCAGACACAAACCCCCCTCCCATCATATTTCTTTCTCCTTCTCCCTGTCTCTCTCACTTCGCTGTGATGGTTGGCCCACTGAGGGAATGGGTGGGCCAGCACAAGTGTGTGTGTGTGTTCAGGTGTGCGCGCCGGCCCTGGAACTGGACTCAGAGATAAGTCAGCGTCCAGACAGTGTGGCAGGCAAGAGTAGGTCAGAGCTCTGTGAGGGGCCCTGACCACTGACCATGGGGCCAACACACTGAGGGCCCCCAGGAAAATATAAAAACCAAAGAGGAGTAAAAAATAATCAAGAAAACAAGAAAAAAGATAGCGACAGCAAAGCAATGGTTGCAGAGGAGGTGATTATTACTTTGTCTGGTGGAGCGCCATGGGGTTTTCGTCTCCAGGGAGGTGTGGAACATCAGAAACCACTCCAGGTGGCTAAGGTGAGTGAGGTCACTTGACAGAAGCAGTCATTTCATGGTTTCCTGGCTAGAAAGTGGAACACAGAAGACTGCATGAGATTCAACAGCCTTGCTAACGAGAAGCAAAACGTCAGCTGAGCTATATGATTTATTAAGCTGTGAACAAAGTTGAAATGAAATCCTAGCTGCCGTGCAGGGTGGTTTGAGGCCTGAATATGAGTCATCATCTTGTTTGAGAACAGAGGTACACTAATGATTGATTGAGTGAACTTTAAACTTTAAGTTCAGCTGGGACTGTAGGGCAACCTTGTAGCATTTGCTGCTCACTCAATGTTGGAAATAACTCGTACTTTGTGCTACTTCATGACACCATTCTTCGGTGTTTTCAACACTGAAATGTTGTGAGGATTTTTTGGTATATTAAGGTCACTGAAAGACATTTATTTTGTTTTTACTGTGAGTGGCATATGGATGCCGTGACCATTCATTAATGGCCATGATCTCATCTGTGCTACTGAACTAGTACATTTGCACTACATTATTGTTTCAATAAGAAACCCTAATCGCAGGCAGGTTACCTGATATTTATTTGGAAACACAGTTTTAATGGTAGAAACCACAGCAGTGAGTGATGAATGTCATGAATGTTTGGATTTAGTTGAATTCCTGAAATCATCGTGGTTCAGGCCAGAATCAAACCACAATATTGCCTCTGATATAAAACACTAAAACTGTATTGATCTGTGAGAAACTACATTTATAGTGACAAATTCAACCTTACAACTGTCACATGAGGCCTCTCAGCTCATTTTACTCCGCTAGAGCAAATTCTTTATGCACAAGAATTTGGCGTCCACATTTGGTACCAGTAAAGCAGTCCAGATTTGAATCCTGATCTTGGTTTGGAAAACAGTGACATGTAATCCAAAGGGGAATACATGCTGCATAAAAGGGTTAATTAGGCTTGCAGGCAGAGAAAAACTAGTGCCTCTGGTAAATAAAGCTAAAAATATTTGAAAATAAATAAATGCATAAAATTAGTAAAATTATGGGTACATTCGCTGGGTTCACATTGATCCTTTGCTGTCACAAGCATCTCTGAACTGAGTTGTAAAAATCATCAGTGCATAATTGTTGCTTTTTATTCTACCAACTTTGTCCTTCCTTGTTCAAAGAAACTTGGGCTGACTGTGTTTTCTCTGAAACCTTTCCATAAAGAACTATTATTTCTGGATGTGATAGTTCAGGTTTTAGTACACCTGCACACAAATTATATGTGCAATCTTCAGTGACACACATCACCCAATTTCAATAATTGTTGACTGAGCAGAAGTACTTTACAAGGTGACTATTTTTGGTGAGAAGCAGCATGTCACAGGGTCAGCTAAGCTATTTGTTTCAGCTTGGTGCTCAAAAATTTACCTCACACATAGTTTCTGTCGGTAGGTCTCCATGCAAATGTGTCTATTTACAATGTGATTAGTGAACATGTAAAGGTATTATAACAGCTTGATTTGCAACCACAAGGGGACTGATTGAATGAAAAATGACATCCTGTACGACAAGCATGCACAGCTAAATGGGGATGTGAGATTCCCTTACAGGCAAACTAGAATAGCTGGAAAGAAAACTAATTGTCAAAGCAATGCTTCCTTATCTCTGAAAGCTAACATACAATATTCACTTATTACATAGGACTGCCATAATCTAGTTTAATCAACACTGTAGTCAGTGTCTGAAATTTTTCAAATATCTGCTGTGAATTTATTATGGGACATGTTTACATGTCTTGCACAGACCTGAGGCAATTTAGGGTAGGCATAACACCATGGTCCTGACAGACCTCAGGCACAAATAGCAAAGTGCCAAATGAGCGTGGCTGTTGGCCGGCATTTTCCCTGTTAAAGTGTGCATGAGTGCTCCACTCAAGCTGCAATATGTGGCATATGTCTGCAGCAAGATTGAGCTGTCAAGACAAAATCTGCTTTCTCTCAGTTACTATCACAAACCAAGACAAGACAGCAGCATAGCTCTGTCAATTTTTTTTTAAATTTCCTATCACTGCAGTTACAAAAGCAGAACATTCACTTCTCAGGGAAATAATAAAACAGAAGAAAAATAAAGACCGAAAAACAATGTAGCAGTTTTTTTAATATCATCTTTTAAGTATCTGCAGCTCTTCATACAATGGTTGAAACTTGATACCTGTCCTTATGTTAAAAGTTACATTTCATTTTGTATAGTCCTGGAACAATAAAAAGTAAACATCTGGCAGGCAGGGCATAGCTTCACCCTTGTATTTAACTACTTGGCTTGTGCATCGAAGGCCTTGGCAACATGTAAAACACCATTAACACAGAGCAGAGGAATAATCTGTCAGCATTCAAATGTTTAAGACTTGCATTTCTTGGATTAACCTCAAGGCTTTGAAAGACGTGTGCTTGAAACATATGAAAGACAGATGTTTCTCTAAGGACTTGAGAGGTGTCTTGGAAAGACTTCAAATCTAATCTGGTTCTGGCACATTAAGATGCATATTTGTGTAACTTTGTTATCTGTGTGCTACCAGGTGTTATAACTTTTATTTTCCTTTGCTTCTGTAGGTGCGTAAACGCAGTAAGGCATGCAGGGCTGGGCTGCGGGAGGCTGATGAACTGGTGACCATCAATGACCACCCATGTGGGACACTCTCCCATGCCCAGGCTATGAACCTTATCGACAGCTCCCCTGGGGTATTACACATCCGTGTCAAAAGGTCAGAAGACCAGAACAATTATACTCTCAGTTATGATAAAAAAATGACCAACCAAATTGTAATAAATCAAACATATTATGGACAAGTTAAAGACTGAAGTATGACACCAGCACTCTTTGCAATGTGCATGTGTTTGATTCTACTGTCTATTATGTTTCTAAAATACATAAATAAATGAATCCATAAAACATTAGAATCAACAAATATTTCTGCTGCTTGTGCTAAGATCCCACTTACTCTAACAACAAATAAAATCCAGACTTAGAACAGATGTAGACTCTAATATGACATCCTAGGGCCCTCATTATGTCCCATCAAAATTGTAAAGCCTCTAACTTGTTTGCAGGGCGCCTGCTGGTTTTCAGTCCGTGGTACTTGTGACCCGTGCCCCATCTCCCCGTATAGACAAGGAGTACCGTGCTGCTCTGCATGCCATGTCACCCACCCACCCACAACATGCACCTGTCCGTGAAGTCCACCGTAGCCACTCCTCCCTAACCAGTGGCTTGACATCTCCACCTGGAAGTGAGGCTTACTATGGCGAGACTGACAGTGATGCAGATGTGGCGGGCTACAGCCAGCGCCGTCAAAAACGCCGCAGCCCCAGCAACTCCAGCCCGGGAAAACCAACAGGACGAGACTCCCCTGAGGGTGGGGAGACATCAGAGATGAGCGGCTATGACAGTGCTCCAGATGCACAAGTTTACCCGAGTTTGATGGATGGACATGAGGGAGCTGGAGATGGAGGAGAAGGGCCAGCAGGGGTGGCACGGAGGGAGGTCATTTACCAACCTCCTGGTGCAGAAATATGGTCCCCCCACACCTCCACTGAGACCTCCTCCGTTATCTCCTCAGCAGATGACCAGGGGCTACGGGAAGGGGGGCAAGAAGAGGACAGTAGCTTTTTAGAGATAGCAAATGTGCCACTGGTTTCCCCTGAGAGGGCAAAAGAGGCTCTGATGCTAAGCTCCCGCAATCAGTTTGTGCCCATGGTGGGTCCTGTGAATAAACCCGTTGATGAGGAGCTTACAACAACCTACATGGAGAAGGCTAAGCAAGCCAGTAAGTAGAGCAGAGGAAGAACAATCACCAGGGTCTCCACACCTATTTACAACATTCCTTAAAGTTTGTTCAAGAGTCACAAAAACGTCAAACTCTACAAATAGACACATATGTACAGTGTATGTCACTGATACAAACATTTATTATGGCAAGAATAGTGTCTGAGTGCTCTGTCTTAATCTTGATGGAAATCATAATCAAGAAAACTACTGTAATTAACTAAACACTGAAAAGTTTCCTTTCGTAGTCCAGTTTGAGTGTCTGTCAACCTGTCTGTTAAACAGAGCACAGCCAGGGGCGTTTACTATATTTATCTCAGTTAAATGTGTAAAAATCCAAGTGATCCATCTGGGAGCACTGAAAAGTATCTACAGCTGCTTCTAGGTATCAAGTAGCAAAGCAGGATACTCTGATTTTCTCTGCTCCTCTCTCCCTCTCGTCTCTATAATGGTTTCTCTAGCTGTCCCTTCATTTCGCTAACACTCAACATGACAAGTTGGTTGTCACCACAATGATAAATCCACCAATATAGACAGATGTGCTTCCATTAAGGTAGAAGATAAGATGGTATGTCACAGATACAAAAAGGGAATGAATTATTCACCTGGTGATGAAGATTGTTTTTGTATCTAAAATGTCACAAAAGGAAGCCGATGTTTTAGAGTGTTTGCATAATTTCCAGTTACCCAAGCCTGAAAAATCAGCCAGTAATGTCTTACTATTTTTGATAGACACAAACTTTGAAGAAAGGTAAAAAACTACAACATTACAGTGATGCAGTAAGAGTTAATAGAGCACTGACACTGACCAAGTATTCTTTCTTACCACTTATCATCCATAATTAGTCCCACGAAAGCACAGAGCTGGGCTACTTGAAGTCAACATGTTCTTTTAAGAACGCATATCAACTCGTGTGCTCATGTAAATCCCCCTTGCCATCACTGAGTGCAGGTTTGACATTGTAATGCCCTTCTTAGGAACCCCATATTGTTACTCCCAGGGTGACAGAATTAGGTTGCCTAAGCTAAAGTTGGTTACCATTTGAAATTCCCCTTCCAGTAAGCTACAACGTGCAACTTTTATTGCAGCTGGATGTTAGAGTCCATATGCCTAAATGCAACTTTTAGTAAAGCTGGATGTTAGAGTCCATATGCCTAATTATGTGCAAATTTATCCTTCACCCCAACTAATGTGAGAAGCTGAAGGCTTGCCTGGAATTTTCTTGGAAGTGCACCTGTGGCATGTTAAGAGATAGATGCCCATTGAAGGAATGGGGGTCAGGACAGATTTAGATGCTCATGTTAGAGTCAGTCTTGGTTTAAAAGTAAAATTTGTTATTTTAGACCCGTCTGACCTTACTGAAGTACAAATGTTATGCTGCCATGTAACTGTTCCTAATAGCTATGGCTTTCCCTGCAGAACTGAACCGAGGCGATACAATGCAAGACAAGCAAGTAAAGGAAGCTAAAAGCAAGTGTCGAACAATTGCATGCCTACTGACTGATGCTCCCAACCCTCACTCCAAGGGGGTGTTGATGTTCAAGAAGAGGCGGCAGCGTTCCAAGAAGTACACTCTCACTAGTTTTGGTAGTGTGGATGAGGACAAGTGTCAGGACTCACAGGAAGAGGATGGGATGTTCCCTGGCAGTGAATCTGAGTTTGATGATGATGTCTTCTCAGCAGCTCCTGATCCAACTTGGGATAGTGACTACTTGGATATGCTGGAGAGGAGGGCAACTGCAGGTGCTGAAGGTCGTGGCGATGGGGCAGAGGATACTCCAAGTCCAGGGCTGAGTGAAACTGCAGGCAAGGGTGCCCAGTTGTTTGAGCAGCAAAGAAAAAGGGCTGCTGAGCATGCCAAGAAGGTGGAGACAGCTCAACTTCAGGCTCCTCCACAGTCTCAAGTCCAAGAGCAGGCTCAGATGTATCAATTGCATCCAGAGATACAGGAACAACCAGCCCTCCAGCCTCAGCACGTGATACCACCTAGGCATACATTCATACAGCAAGAGCCCTCCCAGGCTCAAGGTCCTGCTGGGGTGTCAAATGTGGACCTATCTTACTCTGCAGTTAGCACAGCTAGCATAGCGATGTCACCTCCGCATGTGGCACCCAAACCAGCCACTGCTTCAGTGACTTTTCCAACCAGTCCTGCATCAACAGCTGAAACCTCATTACCAGAACTACCTGCTAGTAATGTTCTCAACAGAACAGCACGTCCTTTCACTCCTGGCTTCATCAGCATCCGAGCTGCGACTGGCCCTGTAGCGTTCCGACCAACCGTCACAAAGATGACCCAGCGCCCTGTCTCAGAATCTGATGTGCCACCAATGTTCTCCACTGCCTCTGAAGTAGCTGTTAATGTTACATCATTAGGATCTCAATTGCCCTCTGGTCATCCATCAGTGTTCTCCCCACCATCTGATGTACGTCAAGGTCCCTCAGCTCCGACACCAGAAGCTCCAGTTGCATTTTACCCTCCAGCCATCTTTACCTCTGTAAAGGCAATGCAGTCACCACCACCAGTAATTAGTGTTCATCAGGCTCCATTTACAGCTGTGTCTATGCCAATACCACCAGCTCCACAAGCACCGAGAGCTCCAGTCCATATTCCTCCTTTATCACAAATTCGTGGTTCAGTTGACTCAGTTCCCCTTGTGTCTCCACATCAAGTGCCAGTTGCTCAGCCACCTCCACCTAAACGCTCCATGGCACGTGTATCTCAAGTGGTCTCCCAGCCAGAAGCTGCAGCTCCAACACCTGTTCCTGGTCTAACAGGGCGCACAGGAATCTTACTTGAGGCACGACGGCGTAGTGGCAAACTCAAACCTATGTTCAATGTGCCAGATGTCAAAAAGAATTCACCTAATCCTGAGCTATTGTCTATGGTGCAAAACCTGGATGAAAGATGCACCAGACAGAAATCCAGCCTATTACCCACTGAGGCTGCCTATGATGCTGAAGAGAGGAGTATTGATGCCAGCACAGGGAAGGTGCCCCCTCCAGTGGCACCCAAACCTCGGGTCATCCAAGAAGCCCCACAGATTCTTCAAGCAGGGGGTAAGGGGGCCCAGCTGTTTGCCCGCAGGCAGAACCGCATGAGTATGTACGCAGTGGACGCTGCACCCTATACCCCTTACCAGCAGGATGTGACCTTACACAGTGCAGTCCAACCCCTTGACTCCACCCTCAATCCTTCCCTTCCTCCTCAGTTTAAATACTCACCAAATATCCGTGCCCCTCCACCAATTGGGTACAATCCACTGCTATCCCCTTCTATCCCTACGGGCCCTCAGAGAAATACAAGTAAGCCAGAAAGCAAAGGCAGAGGGCGTTCCCACAAAGAGGGCATCAAAGCCCTGGATGCCATGAGAAGACAGCCCTACCAGCTCAACTCTGCCATGTTCAGTTCTGCTACTAATTTGTCACCCATGCCTTCTTACCAGGCCCAGAGGCAACAGCAGGCTGACTACACAACAACAATGGTGGGTAGTTCATTAACGGCACCTAAGCAGATCCCCATCAAAAAAGCCCGTGTCTATGAGATCAAGAGATTCTCCACACCCACTCCAATGTCAGCGCCCACTCTGTCTCCCAAAGTCATCGCACCTCGATCAGCCACTACCCTCGGCGAACGTTTGACCGACTTTGGCATGACCTCCCCACCTCTTGCACATTTCACCCCAAGCCCAGCTTCACCTCCCTCTCAACCAGCTGGATGGCCCAGCCTCCCAAAATTCTCTGCCATGCCTATTCCAAACCCTGTGCTCCCTGTAGTCCCTACACCATACAGTCCAGTATCATACACCACTGGGCTCCAGACAGCCAAGCAGTTCCAGAGCGCTCCTGAGCTCAGTATCCTTTCGTCCTTGCCCCCAGTTCAGGCGCCCAAACCACATTTTGTTGCCACCAAAGGAGGAGTGCTGCCCCATGTCTGGAGACCCGGGGCAATGTGAACAGTAATAAATCAGTCATTACCACACTTTGACATCTACATGTTCTATTCATTTAATGCTGATGCTATTTAATTATTGAGATAATAATAGTAATAATAATTTTTATTAATTGGTTTGTTGTTTAAAGTCAAGCAAAAACACCAGATTTATTGTGTCCAGTTTCTCAAATGTGGCAAACTTTCTTTTCTCTAAGGCTTTTGGAAATTACAACAGACAGTTAATTAAGGTTAAACACTGTAACATAAGGTGATGAAGTGATTTGGTATAGAGCAGAAATCTAGATGCCCCTCAATTTTTTGAAATATATATATTGAATAATGATAATTAATCAGAAACATCTACTTTCTGTTCAAAATGCTAGCGATCACAGTTATTTTAATGTTAAAACATTTACTAACACATTTATCTGAAGGGCAATAATCACAGGGAATATTAGCACATACTGTATGTCATATACTGTAGTCCACCATGTGCCTGTCCTGGGGGAAGTTTGTGTAAGGCCTCTGGAGAACACATTCTACTAATTTAGCAGAAATGTCCTCTAAACAGAGCCTGTACGGAATTATTCTTTGAAGCTTGAAATGTCTAAAAGATGTTAAGTTAATAGCAGCAGTTCTCATGATAGGGTTCAGTCACTGATGATGTATGTTGCGCAGTGTCCACAGGTGCAGGTGGATTAAAGCACAGCATTATCAGCAAGAAACCCACGATGAGTCTTCTCATCCAGGTGTTTGAACGATGCATGTCCGGTTGAAAACTGTAAAATGTTTTTAAATGCCTCGGCCTACTGTGGAATTATATGAAAGTATATGCAAAAACAAGGTTTGCTCTTGCAAAGTGTTGGTGAGGTTGTGCCAAATACCTCTGCTCACTTTAGCTATAGAGAGCCATCATTTTAGCATGGGTCACATTCAATAGGTGCCTGGGCTGTCACTGAATATTCTCTTGTCACTGGATATCACAGCTTCCAAGTGCCACTTAGGGACACTAGAGCCTACTTAGTATCAGTGAGATCTTTGCAGATCTATGTAAATTCTTAACCTTTATTAAACAAATAACAGAGGTGAAGGAATGTATATTTGTTTTGTTTAATTTATGTTTTAATCTGAAGGTGTGCAATGGGAAGTTGATAAACTGAAAGGCACCAACATTTATAATAGGTTTCAAAGAATGAGAGTGGCTGTGGAGAAGGGTATGAACAGGATAGAGCTAGCCAGATTACTGAATGGGATCAAAGTTAGAACATTCTTATAGAAATGGTCATGATGGGATATAAAACAAAC